GAGAGAGAGAGAGAGAGAGAGAGAGAGAGAGAGAGAGAGAGAGAGAGAGAGAGAGAGAGAGAGAGAGAGAGAGAGAGAGAGAGAGAGAGAGAGAGAGAGAGAGAGAGAGAGAGAGAGAGAGAGAGAGAGAGGGAGAGAGAGAGACCAGTCAGCGACAATACAAGCATGAAGCAGAGAGACACCACACATAGAAAGAGAGGGAAGTGAGTAAGCGTTGTTTCTTTTGTTGGTTTGCAGTAAAACGTTTAGCAAGGTCACAAACAATGACTCGTAACCGGCGGATGACGCAATGGGCATGTTGATGTTTGCCGCCCTTACCGCTTTTGCTTCACGTGCATACGTGTGTGTCGTTTGAGGTAAAGGGAAGAGATGAAAGGCGGGTCTTGACACGTGACTGAGCCAAGCCTACAAGCTTACGGGAGAAATGGAGGGAGGCTCGTTTCCACCACAAGGCGTACAAAACATTTAACCTTATGGGATATATTTTGGGAGATGATCTAGGAAACGGGGAGGTGACGTGGGTCGCAGTAAGTGCGGTGTCGGCCATCAGAAGATGTTGCGCAGGTGGCTCGTGCCTGCCTGCCAGGCCCAAAAGGCTCAATCAAGCCAGCCCTTGAGCTTTTGCATTGCAGTTGCCACATACTTGCCTCATCAAAATGTGGGTTTGGTCATGGTAGATGGGTTGCGTCACTTTCCCGCTTTTTGTGTGTCCCTTCGTGGTTTTCCCCTTTGGTGTCGCTAGCAACAAGATCTTGTGCGCTGCCAGTCGCCCTGTTTCTTGCTGCCAAACCATGGTGCGCACACAATGACCACAGTCTTCCAAAAGGGGCAGCAACGAGCATGGGGGTCAAACGACGGGGCGTAGACTTGGAGCGCAGGCCACCACCATGCTCCCAGTTCAAGCACAATCGCTCAGAAACATGATCAACTGAAAACCCGACCGATCGCCAACCATGGCACCCTTTCGACCTCTCTCCCTACCTACAGGCAAAATCGACTGCAATGCATAATAACAATGTCATTATTATGTCGTCCCTGTGGTTGATTCATCCTTGGGTCGTTCCGTTGGTCTTTTGTTGATGTTTGGTGGACTGTGCATCTAAATGGGGGTAGGGCATGTATCAGATGGATTCATGTTTGTGTTTTTCATGTTTTTTCCATGTTTTGCTCATCGCGAAAGACCACACACACACACACACACACACACACACACACACACACAGAGACGTCTTCACACGCGCACGCAGCAACCTGGTTTGGTTCCACATGTGCACCTGGGACACTTTGGCGCAAAACCGCTCGGAGTGGGGTTTTCAAATCCCCCTCGTGCGTTGTGTATGATGAATGTCCATGGAGTAGGAGGCTGGCAGCGGCCAGATGACGTGCAAAATCGACTCGACTCATCTTTTTTGGCACTCTGCCGTTGACTTCGGCCGAAGGGGGGGTTTGGGGAGCAAGACTCGGCCTAGCGCGATCGCGCGTCACGAAACCCACAAACCCGCCTTTCGCACATCTCATCTGGCACTGGCCAACTTGTGCACAAGGCAGCCGTTGGCGAACCTGACCACGTGCTTTCTGGACGGCTGATGAGGCGCTGTCGTACCCCGAAACGAGCCCATCGGACCTACCGACCTCGCGGGGTTAGCAATCAGCTGACACAGCGGCACAATCGACCACGTCGGGGCCCAGCGTGCCACGTCGAAGATTGAGTGGGTCCACAGCAGTGACTTGTCCGCGCGCGTGACTCGCAAGCTTCTAAATGGGGACGTGGCAGGCGCGCAGGCGATTGTTTGTGTTTCAAAAACCATTTCTGAGGAACAATCAATGTTGTGGTTGCATGGCTCGGTCCTCGCAGTCCTTGGCCCCGGACGCATGGCAGTCGGCACAGTGGCCGGAAATTCGTTCACAGACCACGTGTACACGCTGAACCTGGACATGGTCCGGTCTTGGCTGTAGCTCCTCCCCATCGCCGATCGCCGTCCTCTCGTCATCGGTTTCTGCGCACCAGTCCATTCGCTCAGATTTATCTCAACGAATCACGAGCCAGTCACCGCGACTCGGGGCTCGGCGATCTGGCTCCGGGGGTGGCTTGACCTGATTGTCATACAGAATTGTCAGATGAACAACAACAGTAAAACAAAACACCTGTTGAGTCGTTTCATGATGGCGAAGGCAGTGAGGAGGTGTATATCACTTGGTAGTTGGCGTGCAGGCCATGTGACAAAGAAATCGCACACGCAACCCCAGTCCGTCTGCGCCAAAGTGTGATCCTAAGCACACTATTCCTACACTACAAAAGGTCACGTTGCGACCACACACGCGCGCTTACCAACAACGTTAAACTCGTTATCGCCACCACACCTCCCGTTATCCTGAGCCATGTGCCTTATCCTTTGACTGGATAAATCATGCCACAACACCTGTTTTAAACAGGTCCTCATCACGTTTCAAGTGTACCTTAGAGCACACTTTACCCCTGCGACGCAGGTGAGCACAAGACCTTCACACACACACACACACACACACACACACACATGTGCGTGAGGTGAAGAAACGGCAGCCCCCTGGACGGCCTGGGACCCCGTCCCCATGAGGCCTCGTTATCAATGGTATCGGGGTGGACTCGAGGTAGAGAGGGAATGCTACTGGCTGCTCGGTGGAGTTGGACGGGATGCTGCTGCGACGGGGCATTGTGTTCCTGGTCACCGCCCGCGTGTTTAATGTGCGCACGTTGTCAGCTCTCTCTCTCTCTCTCTCTCTCTCTCTCTCTCTCTCTCTCTCTCTCTCTCTCTCTCTCTCTCTCTCTCTCTCTCTCGTGTGTGTGTGCGTGTGAGTCCCGTCGGCTGCCTCATCTATCCGGCTGTCCCGGGCAGCTGTAGCCAGTTCATTCAGCCGGCTGTGTGTCTTGGCTTCTCTGTTCATCCCTCGTGGGTTCTCTACAGACAGACAGACAGACAGACAGACAGACAGACAGACAGACAGACAGACAGACAGACAGACAGACAGACAGACAGACAGACAGACAGACGGACGCATGCTTCCGCAACCCTGAGGCTTGACATGATGATCGTTTCTCAGGCGCACGTGTCTGTTTGCGCATACGACAGTGCCTGCTTTCTTCTCACGCGCTGGACTCATGTGTGAAATCATGCTTGGAACCTTTGTTGGGTAGAGAGCCGAGGAATCGGTCGCACCGACCTCGGAACGTCGTAAACTAGCCGCTCCCTCATCTTTGTCAAACAACCAGCATTATGGCTGACCATCTCGTGCCCGTTCTGCAAGGCCTGATGGTTGAGAACGATGCCGAGCGTGATGCTGCAGAGGTATTCTCATTCCACCCACTAGCTTCCGATCTCGCCCATGGACTCGCCTGTAAGCACCGAGGCACAATTGTCTCAACTTGCTTGCTTCCGCCCCGCAGAAACAATTGGACATGTTCTTGGAGAACCATCCCGAACAGACAGCCCTTGCCTTTCTTGAAGTCATGAGCGGCACCTTTCCTTTGGAGGTACGAAACTCATACCGAGCTGGCTCAGTCTTGAATCCACAAATGTCTCAAAGCCCTTGCTCACCTGTGTCGGCCTCTCCTCCTGGTCCCGGTCCTGCATTAGCTGCAACAACTCTCTTGCGTCCTGTTTCGCCGCTACGCCCTTCACCTCATTGAGCCTCACAAGGCCTTTTGGAGCCGTTGCTCAGCCGAATGCCGCGTAAGCCGTGCAGTCATCTCCCTCAAACCTTCCAATTTATTTTATGTCTTGACCACCCTCTTGACCCCCTTTTTTCGTCCGCCCTCATTGAATCACAGGCCACCATCCAGCAGCAGCTCATTGCGCTCTTGAGCCGGTTGGTTTCTTGCCCTTCTTGTTGCTGCCACCAACTCTTGTCGCCTTCGACGACAACCTTGGGCCCCCGACTTGCTGCCCTTGGTGTCTCATTTTTGGTTCGGTTACACCCCTCTTCCTTTCCGCTTTAGTGCCGACCTGACTTCCATGTTCCGCTCCAAGATCTCCGACTGCATTGCTTCGGTGGTCAAGGCCATGAGCGTTGAAATCGCTCAGAGCGACGAAGTTGAGATTACTGAGCTTCCCAGCGTCCAGGAGTACTGGCCCGACCTCCTGACCAACCTCTTCCAGCTTGTCCAGAGTCAGACCGCCGAGCTCATTGAAAACGCCGTCATGGTCTTTGTCGCCATCCCTGGTATGTGCCTCGAGCATAACTCAAAATGTGTGACGAACCTCTTGGTCGATCAACGCGTCACCTGCCCTCGGACCTGTTTCCTCGCGAGACGCTTTGCTTATGGAATATGATGCGTTTGCTGGGCGCCATGTCAACAGGTCTCTTTGGCCGCGACCTCGAAAAGCATTTGGAAACCATTCATCAACTCATTCGCATGTGCTTCGCTCACAACTCGCTCGACGTCAAGATTGTCGGTGCCGAGGCCTTTGCCGCCTTCATGCCACTGGTTCCCAAGAAGCACTGGGCCAGCTTCTGCGAGCTCATCCCGCCTACTCTTGAGCTGGCCTCTGAACTTGTTCAGCACAACCGCGGCGATGAAGCCCAGATGGTCCTCACTGCCTTTGTTGAGATGGCTGAGACCAGCCCCAAGATGATGCGCGCCCGCCTCACAGAGGTGGTGGGTCTGATGGCTCAGATTGCCAACTTTGAGGTTCGTAAACAACGCTGGTCCGTGCCCCCAACAGCTGCGCACACTCTCGCTCAAGACACATGATGAGGGGAGCAACATGGGACGATACATGCCCAGGTCCATGAAACTCGGTCGGCATTCACCCATGACTGTGATCTGCATTCTCATTCTTTTCCAGGAGGGCGACGATGACTGCCGCAAGTTGGCCCTTGAGGTGATTACCACCCTCTGCGAACAAGCACCTGGCATGATGCGCAAGGTCGATGGCCTGGCCATGCAAATTGTTCCCATCTGTCTGAAGGTGTGTTTTATCATGCACCCTTTGGTCCTGGTTCAGTGGCCCGCTCGTTTCTATCCAAGGTGTCTGGCTCGTCATTGCTCACACGTGGCTGTCTCATGGTGTTCCTGGTGGTTTCAGTTTATGATGACTTTTGATGACGATGAGAGCTGGACGACCGAGGACCAGCTTGCCGATGATGATGATAGCGATCTTGCCGCCACCGGTGAATTTGCGCTGGTACGTTGGCATAGTTCTGCCCGTAGCGAACGGCGAACCGACACTGAGAGCGGCGACTGTCGCGGGTTTCATGCGTCCTGATGGATTCGTGTGTGTCGCTCAGGATCGTCTCAGCACGGCCCTCAAGGGCCGCACCTTTTTGCCCGCGGCCTTTGCCTTGTTGCCCAATATGCTGGTCAGCGAGGACTGGCATCAGCGCTACGTCGGTGCTTTGTCCATCGCTGCCATCGGTGAGGGCAGCCACAAGATGATGAACGAGCATCTTCCTTCCATCGTCGAGCGCGTGTTCCCTCTCGCCGTCGATCCGGTACGCCCTCTATAATTTTTTTTCTTGGTCCTTACATGTGCCATCCCCTTGTTTTCATCAAACCTCATCTTCTTCTTGATTACAGGTTGTTCGCGTGCGCTACGCCGCCGCTGCCGCTATCGGTCAAATGTCTATCGATTTCGCCGCCCCCTCGGGCAAGGAGTTTGCCACGGGCTTCCAGGCTCGCTTCCATGAGCAAGCCATCCCCACCCTGCTGCGCTCCATTCGTGAGAGCCACGGTCATCCCCGTGTCATGGTGCGTTACCTTTTTTTTTTTTTTTTTTTTTTTTTTGCAAGCTCCATGCTTACCCTTCTCGTGTCGACCCTTTCTCTGGATACCACTGTCATTGCCGCCATGCTTGATAAAGCGCATCTGATTCGTCTGTGCCTGGTTTTTGTTCCCTCTTTGATCGGGTTTTAGGCCCACTGCATTACAGCGCTCATCAACTTTTGCAACAACTTCAAGCGCCAACTCTTGCTGCCATACATCAATGAGATGATGCAGTTGCTCGGCGACTTGCTTAGTCTGCAGTCCCTCGTGGTTCAGGAGAGCACGGTCACGGCACTTGCGACCATTGCCGACACGGCCAACAAGTACTTCAAGGAATATTACCAGTCGTTTACTCCGGCCTTGAAGAACATTATTCAGGTGAGGCGTTCTCTTCTCCTGGGACACGCGAAAGCTGTTTGTTTTCGTCGTTCTTCCCGCCACTCAAGGTGTATCTTTTGCTCTCCATTTCGCGTCTCGTAGCACGCCCAGCAGGCTGAGCACGCCACTTTGCGTGCCAAGACTTTTGAGTGCTTCACGCTCATGGGCTTGGCCGTTGGCAAGGACATGTTCCTCAACGACGCTCTTGAGCTTATCAATCTTTTCAAGGGCATGAAGGACATGGGCATGCAATCAGAAGACCCCAACATTGGCTTTATGCTCACCAGCTGGGCGCGCATTGCCGAGGTTCTCAAGGATGACTTCGTTCCCTTCCTGCCTCTGGTCTTGCCCCCTCTTCTTCGTTCGGCCAAGCTCAAGGCTGAGATGTGCCAGATGGATGACGAGGAGACTTATGCCGACCTGCCCAACGAGGGTGAGGGTTGGGAGGTCCTTGACGTGGCCGAGGCGCGTATTGGTATCAAGACCACCACCTTGGAGGAGAAGCGCGTGGCTCTGGAGATGCTGTGCAACTACGTCAAGCACCTTCGCGGTCATATGGCCCCCTTTGTGGCCGAACTGAGCTTCATCACCGACCTCTTCCGCTTTATCTTTGAGGACGGCGTACGTGTCTTTGCTGCCAACCTTGTGCCTTTCTGCTTGTTGGCGTACACGGAGAACCCGGCGTACGGCATTCCTGCCGCCCAGGCACTGTGGCAGAGCACCTACCAGAAGCTCTGCGAAGCCGCCAACCGTGAACCCGATCCCGAGACGTTGTCTTTCCAATTGGTGGCTCTGCGTGATTCAGTCCACACCCTCAAGGCCGATGGTTTGAGCCCGGAGGTGATGGGTGAGCTCACCAAAGTTATTATTGAGTGCATGCGCAACTTTGAGGATGAGGCGCTGGATCGTTACAAACACCAACAGCAGGATGAGGACTTTGATGAGCATGCAGCCACCGACCTGTCCGAGGACGTTGAGATGCAATATGAAGTTGTGCAGGAGACTGGTCACCTCATCCATGCCCTCTTCCAGCACGGTGGCAACAATTTCTGCCCCTTCTTCGAGGAGATTGCTCCTTACTTCCTGGCTCTGTTGCAGCCGGGCCGCCACATCAAGGATCTGCTGTGGGGTCTCTGTGTCTTTGATGACGTGATTGAGTTTGCCCCTGAATATTCGGCCAAGTTTGCCCCCAACTTTGCCGAGCTCATGGTGGCCAACCTGACCAGCCACGATGCCGAGCTGCGCCAGGCCTGTATCTACGGTGTGGGTCAAATGGCGGAAAAGGCACCTCAAATTTACGGCGATGTGTGCCGCTCGGTACGTATGCCGTGGTGGCCCGCTCCTCAGTGCAGTGCGCCGTTGTTTGAGACGGGCAAGCCCCCGTTTGCCTCCTTTTCTCTTGTTTCTTGTCTTACCTGCTTCAGGCGCAAGTTTCTCATGCGAATCACCCTTTGCTCTTGCTTTGTTCATGTCAGGCCATGCCACATATTCAGCAGCTCATCACGGCCGAGGGATCACGCTCGCTGCAACAGGCTGCCGCAACCGAGAACGCCATTACCACATTGGTGCGCATGGCGCGCGCCGGTCTGGGTGCAACCGAGGCTGAAATGCTGCCCATGCTCCTGTCCTGGCTGCCACTTACAGAGGATGACGTTGAAATTTCCTACGTCATGACCTACCTCCTCGATTTGATTGAGGCGTACGTCTCAACCGTTCTTCTTTGTGTTTGAACCAAACCGACTTTTTTTTTTTTTTTTTTTTTTTTTTTTTTTTTTTTTTTTTTTTTCC